AACCCATATGGCAGCAGTAAGGAAGAACATGAATCTACCTCACTTTACAAGGCTGACCTCTGAAGAGAAGGTTGAATCAGACACCTCAAGATAGCAACGTTCAGTTTTCTCACAGTGTGACAGTGTTTTCTCATAGAAACAGTTTTTTCATAGTGTCATCCTCAGAGTACAGCTTACCTGCGCTTAAACAGATTTACCTAATACCACTTGTCTTAAAGCGTACTTTTCATATATACTACAAAAGTTTACGTGCTTACCTAATGACTGACGACAGAAGGCCTTTCAACACCATAGCGCTTCGATTGCTTGTGGCAAGATGTGAATGACAGAAATGAGGATACCAAGAACGGGGTGCAGTGAATCAGTCTTTATTTCTAACGCTGTTGTGTCGCCGAAATGCAGTCATATCTTTTTGTTGCTACAGAGAGGAAAACTAGAGTTTCGTCTGGGACCGTCATTTAGGGTACTTTTGCAATAATCTTAGGTATATTATACAATTTTCTCGCAGTCCTTTCCGGAATATGGCTAAAGGCGATCTTAAACTGGATCAGTGTTTATTCTAGCAGAGTATTAGGATTCCTGAGGAATTAAGGAATGCCTCCATTCTCTTCCATGCACAGATATAGAGACTAAGAAAAGGCAGTTGGCCTGTTAGCCTGTTGACGAATTAGCCTACCAAAAACCATTTACATGAGTCCAGTAGCTTCTCGTGTAATAGACGAAATGCTGAAGAAGTTGACCAGAAAGCCAGCACGCAACACGGAAGAAAAATGTAGAGCCAGATTCGTTTTCGCAAAAAATTTTTTAATTTCACGATGCAGGTACCAGTGCCTTGTAGCAAAAGTATTGAAAAGCAGCATATATAGCAGACATCACAAACCAGACGTTCTGCTTAAGCAGAAGAATCAAAACGACAATTTGAGTACACACGCACAAGCACAAAAAATCAGCATTCTCCTGCAATGCTCTATTTTCAGCAGATTACTGCCCCTGCTACAATAGTAAAATTAAGATATTTAATATCAGAGTAGACAAGCGACAGATGTCAGATTGATGATCCTGCTTTTATACGACTTTGTCATATTTCGATTCATCAATCTAGCCATGAAAGATATAGGATGTGTCATATCTACCCTCTGCTATAAACGTTTTCTTCCAGGAGAAATCGAATATACAGAAACTATGTGTGATTTATGACAACAAAGTACAACTGCTCATTGGAGTCTCAATTATGTATGTCTAAATTTAAATTTACCTTTAAATTTACCTTTATACTGCTGATTTCTAGTCAATCACTAGGTGGATCAAGGCGAACTGTAGCCGTAAAGCGCACGCGTAAGACAGTATGGCCGTAGTCTCACAGCCTTTGTCATGACAACACCAAAGGACTTTGTGGTGACTATTATTTGCAGGTCTACAAGGACCCGCTCTCTTTTTATCGGCTGGTTGCACCGAAGCACACTAGAGTGAAATCCTTCTTCACGGTAATTAGCAGTTAATAAGAGTAAAATTCCGTCGCGTTTGAATCCCCACTCTAACGTGCGATGCAAACTACCAATCAACTGCAGCACTACTCCCTCCCCCAAAGAAAGGAATCGAGGGAAAGTTGAATACTGTGCCTAAACCCATCCTTCAGGAATTCCTTTTCTCATCCACCTGCATTCATTTGTTAGAAGATACTTTTTCCACAAACATTTAGGTACAACACAGCCAAAAATGAAAACATTCTCAAACAGTTTTCTCTTTTGCTTGTGTCCATGCAGAAATGATTAGGAACGGAAGTAGAATGAGAACGAATTAAACAGAATTCCGTAAAGAACCAATACAACAAATTAACAATGCGTCAACTATCTCAAGGCAAAGAACTTCACCCCCTTTTCATATCCGCAAAGTATAACAGAACTTCGCCAGAGAAATATAAAATACTGGCAGACTGTCAAGAATCAGCTATATCATTATAAAAGAGTATATGCGAGGAAAAATAGCGTTATTTTTCGCACATGAATTTCAACGACTCCTATGGTAACAATTACTGATTGACAAGTACAAGCTCACAAAACTTGAGACTCTCAAACCAATCGTCGCACACGAAAGAAATGTTTAAATCAATATTGAAATAAATTTTTATTTACCGCCCAAAGAGAGGCTTTACAGAGCTAAGATTTTCAGCATAATTTATTGAGAAGGCATTATTTTTTTAAAATATGGTTAATGAAAATAGGCCAGACGATGCGATTCTCCTGTATGTTTCTCTATAGTAGACATTCATCTATATCTTGGCCAGAGGCTCCTGGATAGTGGGGCATTCAATTTGTGACTGGCATCAATCATACTATACTTACACTACCTGTTTATTGCTAAAATTACGAAGCGTATTTCACTTACCAGCAACGCAAGGCGCACACTCTGACAAATCAGTTTAAAGTCATCTTCGCTCATGCATTAAAGAACAACTGAATTTGAGCATAAGAAAGAAACATAGGCCGACAGTTGTTGCACTAGCGATGCGCATAATGGTATGTTTTCTAGATCTTGGAACGAACTGATAGAATGCTGTCATGAAAATAGGCATTATGCCTAATCCCTTGAAAGAAAGATATTTTACTTCGACCACTGAATCTTGCAAATTATGCGCATATTCTTGTCATACGTTGATTAAAGTATGACGTTATGAGTAGTTTGCTGGTATCATTAGAGGAAGAATACAGTTGCAATCTGAAATACATTCTATGGACACTGATTTGCCTGCTTGTATAGTAACAAATGGTGAAAAACATCTTTAACCATAAAAGCGAATCAATATTTATTTATCACCAAATTTATTAGCATGCTATGAAACATATAATTCTACTAATTCGAAAATTGAATACTGTTTCAAATTCTGGTTTAGCATAAATTTCATTGGGGTTCGTCACAATTTTGTGGAATGCTCGGTACAATTCCGAAAACCTCAAGCGTACCCATGCGCGGGAAATATCAAATTTTATTTTCTGACGCTCAAATAAGAGTTAAAAATATTTTTAGTTTAGCATCTGTCCTATTTAATACATATTTTGCATTTCGATCAGGGAGACTGAGACAGAGGAAAATACTTCAGTTGTCATTTTTTTCCAGCGAAAGCTCAGATGACTGTTTTCAGCACTCTGTTTACCTTTTTATTCAATCATGGCTCGGCGGTTAAATATGTGGCCGATTGCAAAAAATGCTTTGTAAATAAATGGAACTATTGACATCGATTGAAAGGGGTATAAACGTATTAATTTGGCGAAACGGAGGTTTAGTGGCAAGGAAGTATGCTTTAAACCGGTAGTGGTTGTTTGATGTCTGAGAACAGACCACTTTTGTCTTAACTGTGAATTCAATTAAACAAAGAATTTATGTCACATCATTGGGTGGGGGGGGTTGAGGCAACCATCCAAGAAACGGGTAGCAATTCGATAACTTGTGAAGGGCAGGGTCAACATATTCATGTCATGATGGTTAAGAAGTACGGCTGTGTCATCTAATGGGAGCACCACATAACTTCGGAATTCGCATTGTGTCACTTTATGTCTGTTTATTTCATGTGGTAAGCAACAAAAGGATGTGCAGCTATTGATGTTGCTAAAATAACGACAACCATGTATGAAAATTCGTTTCTTCTAGACGAATAATGAGGTCGTTAATTGGTGTACGTTTTCTATACTTCGCGTAGTTTTCTGAGGTATTGAGACTGTATTATTAACTGCTGTGCCTTCCTCCGGTTTTTCATTTTCAGGAGTTAGTGATAATTTCACGAGGTCAAGAATCAGCACAATTCTTTGAATTTAGTTATGGTTTCCATGGCAATAGGCAGTAAACGTTGTAAGAAGAACAGAAGGTCAATAAGCCAAAAAATGACGAACCTCTATCAAACAGTTAGAAAGAAGACCTTCAGATCGATTTTTGTAACGCAGAAAATCATCACAAAATAAAGACTACGGCAAAATTCCGATGACCTCTATTTGAGTGGATGCAGTTCGTGATTCTCCTTACCAAGTACGTTCGTCCTTACACTTTCATGGTGTCATTTCTAACGTTCTTGCTTCATTAATTTAATGGTGGGGCACTAATCACCGTTTCTGTGCCATTGTCTAGGAATGTTTTACTTTATATATCGTGGAAATCAGTGCTCTGAATATTTTCTTCCCAGAGAGTGGTATTCATCAGCTTCAAAAGGAAGACGAATGACTCGGATTTTATTGAATACACCTGGGATCAGTCATATGCACTTGGCACAGGCAATGATTAGACAAACATTTTGAAGCATTTCAGACCTACTGTATGCCCTTATCCTCCACTCTTCGATAAGGATGAAGTGAACGTAAAATTTTGAAATTTTGTTGGACCGGTTTCTCTCCATTACCCCTTTCGAAATTTTACTGCTAAGCCTGCCGATACTCGAAATAATAATTATCGCAAAAATCATACTCTCCCGGTGGAATCGAGATTAGGAGTAGACCCGAAAGTACTAGCTGAAAATCAATCTATTCATCAACAGAAGTTGCATATTCCCCACAAATGTTAAGTAGGAAAATATACATTCCTTTAATGGACATGAAACCGAACACAGATATAAAGAAAATAAAAATTAAAGCATTTCTTTACAATGGGGATATGGAGTGAAACAAAACAGAATCAAATTCACGACGTTGTCCGCCACTCTGCAAATCTGAGCCTCGGTTGATTCACCAACGACGGAAACGTAGACATTGACAACTTCTTCCTTGCTACATGACTAAAATACATAATGAGGAGAAAAAATAAATTAAGCCGTTGAACGATAGTGATAAAAACGGTACTAAAAGTAGATAATTGAATTTACTTAATTTAAGGTAGAGAAAAGAACAAAAAAACAGGACATTTTAGAAACATTATATAACCGGTGGAAAGGAATGGAAGTTACATAATCGTTTTTAAATTGTTGCTTTGACTCATGGATTGAGAAACGACAATCATTTAGTGTAAGCGTTGTATCAGATTTTTTCTTGACAATCTGAGATTCAATTCACTGAAACATGACAAAACACTGTCGCAGCTACTTTCGCCTCACCACATTGCTGTTAGCACCGACCATTCAGTCTGAACAAGGCCCAATCAGTTAAATCGTAGAAATTAATGGCCCATGTAGGTGAAACGGTATTCCAAATTAATCTTAAACATCTCGATTTACCATAGAAAGTTATAATTCTAGTCACAACAGGGATCAGTTGGCTAATACAGTTGTCATACGAGAAACGAGTGAAATTTAGGTCATCCAGTTTTTCCTCATGGTTATAGAATTATCAACTGCACACCAGAAGCCAGCGAATTGGTCGGAATGGACTGGTCACCTTTCTTACAGTTGACCTGAACTAGGAAACGCTAAACCGATCTTGCTGCTCAATACAAAATGAAATAGTTGCTCTCTAGATGCGCTAACGTGAAGAGTGGTCTTGATTGAGAGAAAAAAATCACCTGTTAAAAATGTTTTCGCCGCCATAAAAATAAATAATTTTGCATGTACAGTAAAGAGTAAAATAACAGAAACATGGAAAGAAAAGTCTCGGACCTTCTCAGTTCAAAGAAACCAGTTCGTCTTGTAATCATAGAGGTAATTTTTGCCGTTTGGCCATTCGTTATCTATGCTACTGCTATAACTGATTACTTACTACTTAATTATAAACTGTAATCTTCCGCCTAGCGTTAATTTAAACCTTCAATAAAGTGCGTATACTAGAGAAAAGCGTGAGAGTGCTAAACCCTAAAAGAAAGTTCGTATACTTAAACAACAGCGTCATAAAAACTAACGGTGAATAGCGAATCAGTTTCAGGCCATACAGTATCGACGGATTACCACCATAATGCTCAAATGTCTGTCGATTAATTTGAAAATCCCTGACTCCAAATCTTTTATATGTACTGCAGCGAACCTTAAGATAAGACTAAACAACAATAAGTCAGTGGCAAACTAAAAACACTTCGTAAAACTGCGAAAATTGATAATCAACATTTGACAAACGAGTGGCCGAAGTTCTATATTTAAATAGAGCCAGTCTAATAAACTTAAGTTTTTATCTTACTGCCATCATTCCTCCCCGATAACAAGGCCGTCATTAGGGCAAATAGTGGTTCTGGTGACAACAAAAGTTATATCCTAAAACCGTCGAACCTAAGTAATTCATCAGTATATAGCACATCAGTGATAAAATTATTTTTGTTTTACTGATATTAACTAAAAGAACCTTTTCGTCATCAGTAGGGTCATCGGAAACAATCAGATGCGTAAAGTCTGCATCAACAAACGCTTTATAAACGGCATCCAAACATAAGTCCAGTTTCGTGGACGTGGTTGTACCGCATGATTCGCTTTCTTTATCATCGACGATCGACCTAAAAACAAGTCATGCATAAACAACTTTGTGGAAAAATATGGTGGGTGAATTAAAGATGTGCAATTTAACATAATACTGCATTTCAAAGGTAATTCAGAAAGAGTCAATTCCACACATTTCGGTTCAGCAACGACCGAAGTTGATCTGCTAATAGAGTGTCGCAAGTCAGAACCGAAAGTTTGCAGGTTCTAGCTTTGGTCGGGTGACCATCTTTCTTCTTTCTGTGGTTAATAAATGAGTATTACTTTGGAGAAAGGAAATACGAAACTACACTCTACGCAGGTCACATAGTTGCTTTCAATCGTGCCATGAAAATAAGGCATGGCTGGCGGATGGCACGGAAATAAATCGGAATTCCACAATTAACATAATAAAAAGAATGGCACCAGAAATGGCTCCACGAAAGAAGTTCAAGGAAGACCGACATTTCAACGGTTACAAACTTTTCTTTTCATCCTTCCTTTCTGCAGCCAAACACTGAAACAGATATCTGGAGAAACGTTTAAATCAAAAATCGGAAAAGAGACACTCTGGGAGCGGCGCCAGTGCTGGATTTAAATTGGTAATCAAGAGTCGAGTCAACCGCAGACAGCCGAGTGTTGTTTTCAACGAAGTCTTCACCTGCCCGCATCAGTGGGGGTTTTGAAATCAAACTCTTAGACGAACAATTTCAGAGCACAGTCAACGGCATGAGCTATCCCACAGTTAGCGTGAAATCGCTGAATATTTACAGCATATATGGTGCAACAAAGATGCCATCCTTCCAACCGTACATGTGGAGCAGGACAGACACAACTTGCGATTTCCTATGAAAGAAAAATTTGTTCTTTGTCAACAAAATGTGAAATGCAAACTGAATAGCTCGCCATAAACTCATACAAAGATAGCATAGTAGGAGTTTCCTTTCTAGCCGTGAAGGGCTAACACGAACCCTTAACATAGTCAACCAGGCATTTCTTCGAATGTTTAGAACTCAAATCGATATGGGAGACGATTGTGTAGAGTAAAACGTTTGACGGAATTTGTTAAACCTGTATATACGTGCATCAGCAAATCTTGACAAATGTTGGTGTATCATATGACTCATCTAGAATACACCGGTATCTGCAGAGCACATACGCACAACAGTATTCATCTCGGTCTACAGGCACATGACAGAAAACGAACTTACTTAAAAATTTCTTCCCAAGAACGTTTAAATGAGGCAACTTTCGATTCGAAGTTAAACATCGGACGCTTCAGTTTTTCAATTTCTTCTATCAAATTCTTGCTTGGCACGGGAAATGGAAAAGAAGGAGAAAGCCTTGTACAGAATATCTGCAAAAGATAGCTGATTATGATAACTTTTGAATGAAACTGTGATAATAAGTAGAACAAAAAGGGCTCACTTAAAAGGTAAGTGTAGCATTGCAAGTACTCAGATACGTTTCTTGGCCCTCTTGAATGATTCTTCAAATCAAGCAGGAGCAAAGGAACCGCGCAATGCGCGGTAAAATATGATTTTGGAAATGGCTTATATTCAGATATTATATTTACGCCGATCTTAAAACCTCTT